TTAAAACCTGGATTTGCCTGCCTTATTAGTGTCCCCTGCTGATGGAGTTCCTCAGGAGGGATGCTACACACGATATTGAGAGACACTTAGGTACAGTAGTTAAGAGGGATAACTTTGGAGTGAGTGTCTCCGGGTTTGAATTCTGTCTCTTCCACTTCCGTGCTGTGTAATCTTGAGCAAGTTCCTCTCTGTGCTTTAGGATATAACCTGCAAAGTGAGGCTAATGAGGATAACAATAGAATAATGATAGCTCCTTAGGAATGCTGTGAGAATTAAATGCCTAGATGATCCCTGGGGAATGCTTAGGTCAGCCCCAGCTCGTGTGAACTAAGACTACCCAGACACCCAGCCCAATACAGACCCTACCTATTTATCACTGACACCTCATCTGCTGATAAAAATCATGTGTAGTGATCACTGTATACCAAACCCTTTGCTATGTAGTCGATTCTGACTCATGGTGATCCCGTGTGTGTCAGAGTAGAACTGCTCTGTACGGTTCTCTTGGCTGTAATCTTTATGGGAGCAGATCCCCAGGCCTTTCTTCCATGGTGCTGCTGGGCGAGTTAGAACTACCAACCTTTAGGTTTGTAGCTGAGCCACCCAGGGACCTTGATGCCCCCTGAGACCCCGGGAATAGACGCACTCTTGAATAGTTCTTCCCCTGCCCCCAGTCTTGCTTTAAAAAGGTTGCAAGCTCTCAGAGGATCCTGAGATGAGCGGCTTTTGGTGATTATGTCTTTTTCATCAGGATCATTTTCTGATACAAAGCACTGTCTCCTTGTGACAGCCATCAGCTTCATTCTGCCTCCATCAAAGATGACGTAGCACAATAACCCTGTCTTAGAAATCCTGAAAAAAATGACTCTTCTTCTTCCCTGTCCACATTTCATTTTGGTTTTCCTCAGGTTTCTAAAAAGTAATCTTTTCTGGATCTAGGTGTTCATTATGTTTGAAATGTGCCAACGTCTAAGGCACATAAAGACCGTGGGCATAGGGGGTGCGTCCATTTCGCATGAGAATTCCGTTTAATTTCAACTCTTAACTCAACTCTAAAACAAGATCCTTGTCTTAGTCATCCAGTGCTGCTCTAACAGAAATACCACAAGTGAATGGCTTTAATAAAGAGAAATTTATTCTCTTCCAGTCTAGTAGGTTACAAGTCCAAATTCAGGGTGACATCTCCTGGGGAAGGCTTTCTTTCTCTGTCAGCTCTGGAGGAATGTCCTTGTGATGCATCAGTCTTCCCTTGGTCTGGGAGCATCTCAGCACAGGAACCTCAGGTCCAAAGGATACGCTTTTCTCCTGGCACTGCTTTCTTGGTGGTTTGAGGTCCCCAATTCTTGGCTTGCTTCCCTTTCCTTTTATCTCTTGTAAGATAAAAGGTGGTACAGGCCATACCCTAGAGAAACTCCCTTTACATTAGATCAGGGAAGTGACCTTAGTAAGGGTGTTATACAATCCCACCCTAATCATCTTTAACATAAAATTACAATCACAAAATGGAGGTCAACCACACAATACTGGGAATCATAACCCAGCCAAATTGATACACACATTTTTGGGGGGACATAATTCAATCCATGACACCTTTTATTCCATGGAATTCAATTTATTTTCTGGGCCGTCTGTGAATTATGTGGGGAGGGGTGGAGGGCTTAAGCTCTAGGGTAGTTGAGCTGTGGACTGCTCTTGTGTCACTGGCTTGGCCCTCCACAGTGGTGGTTGGAAGATTTCCATCATTTCCATGAAGCCATCTTACCAGCTTTGTGGCTGAAAAGGGGAGACGTCAAAGTAAGGATAAGCAAGAAGAAAGGGGCACTTTCATTTGAAAATCTACTGTATGCAAGCAATGTGTTAGCTAGTTTAAATCAAGACGATATATACTACAGTTTGATTACCTTAGATAGCAATCCCTGGGTGGCCCAAATGGTTAAGTCCTTGATTACTAACCGAAAGGTTGGTGGTTCAAATCCACCCAGAGGTGTCTTGGAAGAAAGGCCTGGCAATGTGCTTCTGAAAGGTTACAGCCTTGAAAACCCTATGGAGCACAGTTCTACTCTGCACATACGGGGTCGCCATGAGTTGGAATCAACTTGAGGTCAACTGATTTGTTTTTCTGGTTTTCACTTTGGGTACTGGAGAAACACCATGACTTGAGATTTAAATGACAGTTTCTTCATGAACGATAGATGTTTGGCTAAGGACTGCAACCTTGTATATCCATATGAAAAAGGGCAGGTCATGGGTTTTGGGAATTCAAGATGCTCCAAATTAAATATGAAGAAGGGACCCATATTTATGTAACCTTCCTACCTGTCACTTTTCCATCCCCTGACCTGGGAGGGAGTCCCTAGGTGGTGCAAATGATTAATGCACTCAGCTACTAACCAAAAGGTTGGAGGTCCGAGTCCATCCAGAGGCACCTTGGAGGAAAAGCCTGGTGATCTACTTCCAAAAAATCGGTCATAGAAAACCCTATAGAGCACAGTTCCACTCTGACACGCATGCAGTTACCATGATTTGGAGTCAACTCAATGGCAACTGGTTTGGAGGCAGGGATGGTTCAGTGGTAGAATTATCACCTTCCATGCAGGAGACCCAAGTTCACAACGCACTTTATGTGTAGCCACCACCTCTCTGTTAGTGGAGGCCACTCTGTTAGTAGAGGCGTGTTTCTATAATGCTGAACAAGTTTCAGTGGAGCTTCCGCACTAAGACAGACTAGAAAGAAAGGCTTGGAGATCTACTTCTGAAAATCAGCCAATAAAAACCCTATGGAACACAATGGTCTGATCCCATTGTGCATGGGGTCACCATGAGTCTGGGGCCTCCACGAGTCTGGGGCCGATTTGATAGCAGCAAACCCAACAACGACCTGGCAGCACATTTATATTTCATGTTGACTAGGATGGGTGTGTGTGTGTGTGTGTGTGTGTGTGTGTGTGTGTGTGTGTGTGTGGTGGTGGAAGGGTGTTGGTAATAAATGGGAAACTTTACTTAGTCTCTCTCGGGTTATCAACTGCACAAGGCAATAAGTGTGCACAGGAATGGTGAACTTGGTTTACACAAGTCTTTATCATTCACCTATTTAATTACATTAAACTTGAAAGCAAGTTTCTCCCAGATGATCCATCTGTTGATAATCAAGAGTTGACTAATGATCTGGGATTTCCATGACAGTATTGAAAAAGAAAGTGAACTGATCGTTATTTTTATGATTCTGTTTTAGGCTGAAGTCCTGAAAGCCTTTATGAATTTTGAGAGGACTCTTATCCCATAGCGGGGGTCACATACAAAAAGGAGTAGTGGTTTTCTCTGTGTTCAGTGGTCTGCCTCTCTTTCTAGGATTCCATTCAGATAGTTATATAACAACAACACTCCTGCAAGAAATTGACTCCCCCACTAATTAATTGGCTAAGTAACCTTGAACAAACCACACTACCGACCAGGGCCTCATTTGCTTTCTTTACAGGAAAGTTAGAGACTTTACCGTCTCTTCATTGTTGCTAGTTGCCATCAAGTTGGCTCTGCCTCATGGCAATCTTACGTGTAACAGAAAGAAACATAGCCCAGTTCTGTGCCATCTTCATGATCATTGGTATGAGTCCATTGTTGCAACTATTGTACCAATCCACCACACTGAAGGTTTCCCTTGTTTTCACTGACCCTCTACTCTACCAAACTTGACGTTCTTTTCTAGCGATTGGTCTTTCCTGATGATGTGTGAGTTGAAGTCTCGCTATCCTCACTTCTAAGGAACATTCTGGATGTATTTCGTGTAAGAAAGATTTGTTTGTCTCTTTAAGCTTTTTTAACTCTAAGCATATTTTCTGCTAATGATCAAAAAATTGGCTGGACCAAATACTTCTCTCTCCAAGTACTAGAAGAGTTATGAACATCATTTTATGAGTTATGAACATTATATTATTTAAAGACAGTAACGGGATAAACTTTGAGGATATATGCTTGTATGTTTACATATGTAACACATTTCACACGACACACCAGAACGCTTACCTAGAGAAGCTTGCCTGAAGATTCAAGTCTAACCATAAAATTTTCATACTTCTGGTCAAACCTGGTAAAATGAAAATGCACAGGACAGGCATAAAAAAATGACAGAAAAATAACTCAGCAATAGGCGAAACTGTCAACATAAGTTTGTTTTTTCTTTTTTTAATTCAATAAACTTTACTTTTAGAAAAGATTTAGGTGTACAGAAAAATTGTGCAGAAAGTACAGAGAGTTCTTATATATCCCTTCTCTCCCCTGTATCCTGTTTCTCTCATTATTAACGTCTTGCGTTTGTGTGGTGCGTTTGTTACAATCAATGAACCAGTATTGGTACGTTATTATTAACTAAAGCCCAGAGTTGACCTTAGGGTTCACTCTTTGTGTTGTATAGTCCTGTAGGTTTTGACAAATGCATAATGTCATGTGTCCACCATGACACTACCATGTAGAATAGTTTCACTATCCTGTGGGTTTTGACAAATGCATAATGTCATGTGTCCACCATGACACTATCATGTAGAATAGTTTCACTGTCTTTTAAATGTCCTGTGCTTCACCTATTCATGAGTTTTTTAGATCATTAAAACTTATTTAAAAACAAGACATAGGCATAGTGATTGGAATGATAATACAGCCGTGTAACGTCCGTCATTGACAAATAGGATGGTTCTGGTCCCGCAATTGTGCAAACCCTTGGCCTTCGCTCTCACATTACAACAGTCTATCATCTGGTTTCCCTTGTGACTAGTGAACTGCATTAGTAGAGCAGTGAACGAGGGACAGAGTCTTTGCCACTGTACCAGCTCCTTTCTTGGGTTGAGCTCATGACTTTGGTCTCTTGAGCATCGCAATTTAACCATCTGAGTTAAAGTTACATAGAACTTGGTATAATGCAAGAGATATTTGAAACTATAAAGGAGACAAAATAATCCTGACTATATGTGGTAACAGTTTCTTTTTTCTTTCTTTTTATATGCCTTTAGCGACAAGGTTCTGGGGCAACCAACGGAAAAGACAAGACATCTGGTGAAAATGGTAAGATGACATGAATAGTCCAACTTCACTTTTCCCATATGCAGCCTTGGGTCTGCAGCAGGTGTGGATCATGCCTTCCATTCAAATCAGCTTACTATATATGTCTGTGCTTATTTTCATTCAGAATGGGTTTTAGCAATTCATAGTGAGCACCAGGGTCTGGGTTTCCAAAGAAAGCCAAGCTAGCTAAATGTGGTGCTAAGAACAATTTGTCTCCCAAAGGAGGATTCTCATTTTGGACAACATTACAATTACAATGCAAATATAGTTCTCTGCTTTCTTCATTACTGTTGGTGAGAATCATCCAAGTTGTTGTGAGGATAAAATGAGATCAAATGAGATAAGTGCTTTGAAAACTGTGAAGTGATAAACTTGTGAAAGGATTTTTAAAACTTGCTTCAGCCTTCCTGCTAATACAGGGAACAGCGCAGTTCCCAGGAGAGGGGCTGAATCAGTGAGTGTCCCTGCGAGATTGTCCACCAGCAAATCTAAATAACAATACCAACAGGACCTTCTCTCTGCTCTCCCCCACAGCCTTGAGTTGTAAGGATTATCATCATATTTTATGGATGGGGAAACTGAGATTTGAAGTGGGGGTATTGGGATGTGACCAGGAATAGGAACAGCATGGATCTTGAAGGAGATACAGTTGGGTTTAATTCCAAGACCCCCAACTTAGTGACTGTGATGGAGAGAGGAAGTGTATAATGAAAAAAAATC